TCCCCAAGAACACGCCTCTTCCATTCTCAGGAAACTCCCTTCTGTTAAGGGCTGCCTGACCTCCCAGACCAGAAGATCAGTCTTCCGTGTCCCTGAGCCGGTCCCCAGGTCACGGTCCTCTTCTCCATCCTGATTCCAGCCATCAGACAGAATTATTAGTGGCTGGGCTGATGGCCCACCCGACACCCTAGGATGCGTCACAGTTCTCAGAATTATTAGTGGCTGGGCTGATGGCCCACTCGACACCCTAGGGTGCATCACAGTTCTCAGATTCCCCTTTTCTGTGGTTGCTTCCCCTCCAAAATCCCAGTCTCCAACCCAATTTTCTGTTTGATTATACACACGCATATTACTACCTGCCACCTCCACGCCTTCCCACTTGCCCCACTTTTGGTGCTTTACTGACCTGGCTTCTCTTACGATCTGGCTGAGACCCCATGGCCCGTCGCCAGCAATCTCGAGTGGCCGTGCCCTTGAGACACCCCTACCTTACAAAGCCTGACCCTGGCCCAGGCCATTTTTTCCATTCTACATTCTTGGCAGCTGAGCACCGCAGAGGGAAAATCAAAACTTGGCACCCAGCCATAGCAATTCAGTTTCCCATCTCAAATGGGTTTCAAAGGCTTCCCTCCATCTTCTTACTTGGCTGTGGTCAGTTCCCTCAGCCAGCCTTCCTAGTGTTAACACTAACAAAATGGGAGACATGACCTATGGTAAACAGAGCTTCCAAACAATCTTGAGGATACGGGATAAACCCTGAGAAGAAAAAGAAGGCTAAACGTTAAATGTACACTAGTTCTAACACTGTATGTCCTTAGGTTCCAAGTCCATTCCTTTCATCCACTAGGAATGTTACTGCTAACTTTTCCTAATTCTTGTAGATGTTTAGTTTGACAAATGAGGTGAAGGGTGAGCCCACGGGTAAAAACGGCTGGTTTTCAATCCCTCACGTCCAAGCCACCCTTCATACTTCTTATACTTCATTAGTGAAACAAACACAACTTTTGTTTTCACTTTAATTTATTCTTTGTAAAGTGACAGCATACAGACAAACCACAGAAGCTTTAGACATAGTGTTGACCAGTTTTAAAACTGTAACAGCGAGTAACTGTTTTACAGCAAATAACATTTACACCGACTCCTCACCTTGTTATACAAAGGCATTAAGAACACACACAGTTCTAATTCCTTATAAACCTATTTGTCAAGCAGCAAGATGACAATACACCGTAGCATAGCACAGAACGTTTCCTTCAAGAAACCAGAGCAGCGATATTTGGTTAATGGTTATGCATAGAACTTAAAGGGTAATAAACACTGGTCATAAAGCAAGTGACACATGTACATTAATGAGTGAAAAATGTTAATTTTTATTAATATAAGATAAAATGTTGCTCTTTATGCTTTAAGTTAAAAACTATAGAATACTTTAAAAGCAGACAATACAAGGTGCTTTCATTTTAGACTCCATATCAAAATACCACTCCATTAATTGCTTAAGAACCCATAACCTTTGAGTACTGCTCATTGGCTTTTTAAAGTCAACCTGAAATATAAAAGCACTTCAAGTTTACCAGTCAAAAGCTAATGTTACACTGGTTACATGTTACATTAAAACATAGCTTTTAAGAAAAACTGAATTTAAAAATACTGCAGCATGGAGCTCTAAAAAGTAAAAATGCACTACTTTCAAACCTTTCAACACATTTTGGTGCAAAATGCCCTATTTTGTAAAATCATTACTTACTATATTCCCAACTTTCAGTTAAAATGACAGGTTGAAGTTGTTTTTAAATCTGATAATATCTAAAGAAATGGGTCAGCATGTAAATTGGCTATCCACCACAAAATGATGTTCCCACCATGAAAACATCACTACAGAGACCCATTGGATGAATGTAAATCTTAAAAACTTTATTTAACAGCGTCACACAAATATTTAGTGTCTTTTGGCCTTGAAATCAGAGCAATGCTACCAATAAATCTGAGATATGCAATTTTCACAGAAGTTTCAGAAGCAAAAGAAGAAACACAATTTATAAGTAGTTGGTTGGACAGAAATGAAAGCACCCAGCAGAGTCCTCTCATTTTAGAATTAATCCTCCAGCGAGGGCATCCGTGGTCACCATCACTGTTAGAGAGCATTCAGAAAAGACTAATACTTGGTTTGTTTTTTCATGCTCAGAACCCTCCAAGCTTCAAAATCAACCACAGGCTACTAAGAAAATGAAAATGCACTTATGATGAGCTCTGTAAGTTCAGCTACAAAAGCACTAAAACAGGAAAAATAAAAACAGAAACACTATATCACACAAGTAACTGTGTTAACTATTTCTCTTGCCTCTCTCAGTGGCCTTAGAAATAGGGACTATGATGAGCCTATTAAGAAAAGAGGTGTGCAGGGGGGGGAAATGTTTCAAACAAAGGAATCAGTTTGTAGAATTTTCATATTGGCAGCAGCAACTTCTTTTTACTTTCCTAAGAGTTAAAACATGGCAGAGTGTGATCTATTAATATGCTTTGGGCATACTTCCCAAGCAAGCTAAGCAGAATATTTCTTAAAATTCTATTTTTAAAGACATCCATAAAAGCATAAATATTAATAAATAATACCAACATGTACATCTTTTCATGGATTAAATTGTGGATGACCCTTGCATATTTTAGGGGTTATGTTGGCCATCATTCTTAATACTGACACAATAGGAAGCTTTCCAGCTACTAAAAAAGTTCGTCAGCAACTATTATCTAACCTAAGACATCTACTACAAAGCAGAATCCATAGCTCCAAATATCAGGCTGTGAAAGATCCAATTCAAATATCCTCCCAGCACCAAGAAGCATGAGGTTTGGCCCTACCTGATGAGCACTTTAAATTTAGCTAGTACGAAAGCATTAAAATGAATGCTTGATCAATACAGTCACATAAAGGTAGAAAACTGTATCCAGTAAGGAAATAAAGACAGTGCCCCGCTCTCAGCTGCTGGGGACCGCTCCCCTTAGCAAATATTGAAAAGTAAAGTTAAACTCTGTAAATTCCCTTTTAGTACATGCAGAAGGCCCCAACAACAGTACAGGTGTTCATCAACTCGGGGCGGAGTAGGTGACCTGTTAATAAAGTATCAGCATGGAGTCCGAGGCATCAAACAAAATTACACAGTGCTAAAATAGAGGTGATACTCTATAATGGCTAGTTCTTGAGAAACAAACGTTTAAAACGTAGAGGGAACTTAAGATTAATAAAATAAGTTGGCTTTGCAATTTATTTTCATATAAAGCAGGCAACACTAAATGGGAAAGTTCTTTAATGCATAGCTCTCTTTCCCAGGAAACACTCAGTCCAAAGTTCAGTGAAGACAAACAAGGGAACATGGCAAGAATCATTTTACAGTAAAGCAGGCATTTTCACCCACTCTCTCAATACCCAGCACCTAGGAGGCCTTGTCACTGAATTGCTGTCTGTGAAATATTTTCTCCATGGCACATGCCTTGAGCATGAAGTCCTCCCATGTGCAAGGAGTAAGGAAGCCTATCCTTCCTGAAGGAAGAGGACAGAACCCAGACTCCCACATTTCTACCCTAGAATCATGAACAGGGTGCCCCCAAATGTGTCTCAGAGGATAGCTATTTTAATGATATGGTAAGAGTCAGAATTAAGTTCCCCAATAAATAGTTGCTATCCTAGGAATAAAAGACTATTTTTTTTCCCCTAAGATACCATCGACGGTAAGATGCACCATATATATCACTAAGAAAAGACACAGGTGATTCAACTATGACACGATGCTTTTGTATTCTGCAGAAAGTCTAGCTTTCTGATTTACTAGAACAGAGCTTTTAAACAGGTATTTACCGCATCAACCTTGTGCACATGTCAAGGAAGTGCATGACGAAATAAGCTGGTTAAGTGATGACTATAACGTCGTAGTCTAACTCAGAATCGTTCAGATGGGCATCTGCGTTCCTCCAGACCACAGACGCCTGGGCATCGTCGAGAGCGCCGGGGATGGAGCACCGCTTTAAACGGCGCTCGGGCACCGCCCGCGGGTTAACGTTAGCGGAAAGCTTTGGACGCAGTGAGGTTTGACGCCTCAAAGACAGCCCTGCTCGGCGCATGAATCGATCACACCAGCCTCTGGTGGCTTTGAACTTCGCTTCGTCTATTCCGAGGGCTTTGGCAATTTCTCCGGCCTTCAGCTGCATTGCTTGGCGTGTGATGGGCAGTCCTTTTGCACGCGTCTCACTGACAAAGTGTAGCACACCCTCGTCGACCTGCGGGTATCTTCCTTTCTTAGGGCCTGTAAAGCACTTTGTGGTGGCTTTACAGGAAAATATGGAGTTTCGGTCGCTCCTCCAGCGACGGATATTTGCTTCGCTGATATGGAACGCACGCCCCGCTGCTCTGTTCCCATGCTTTTCTGCATACACAATGACTTTTCGTTTCAAGGCTGAATCATAGTGTAATCTTTTTGAAGACATTTTTAAAAGCCAATTAAACCTGCCACATTTGATACCAACAATCAGTAATAATGCTATGACAAGCCTGAGGTTCACATGTGCCCAGGCGAGGGTAATTACATCATGACTGTTGCCAGGTTGACTGTAACCATGAGATCTATCCCAATTTCAGACAAGGCATGATGTGGGGGCAGAAGGGGAGGGGAAACATGGAACAGAATTAACATTAATAAAATATGGTTTTTCAAGCCTGTAATATTTATCAGATTAACACCAGTGCAAGAAAAAAAGCCCAAGGGTGAAAGAAAAAGTATATATGTTGAAGCAAATAAGCAAAAATTATCTTAACGATGAAATCCGCAATGGTCCAATTTGGTTGAAATTCCCTTTATTTGCATATGGCTTACATGTAAATCTTTTTTTGAACTGGACTTAGAATCCAAGAATGAATGTTCTTCATTCCTTTAGCAAACTGCAAAGCCCAATCATTACAGAGAGACTCCCAGAACCCTTGGTCATTCGCCATCACAGGACCCGCTGGCTCAGTGGCCTTCATCTGCAGGGGCTCTCCTCTGGCGAGCGGACCTGATCCTGTGCGGAGACGGTGAAGCATCTTCTTCAGTCTCAGACCCTGAAGGCTCACGGTCTCCCTCCTGGGATCCAGTGTCTCCCACCAGTTCCCGAAGAAACTTGAATTTTGACAAAAAAAGATGCCAAACAAAATACCAACCTAAAGAGAGATAAAAAACATTCAGAAAAATTATTATGCCCAGCATTATCAACTGGGAACATTTCAGTTAACTCTGTGTCAAGGGTATACTACAAAATAGGATGCATAATTTGAACATGTAAGTAATTATAATTTATGTAACAAACAGTTATCAAGCATTTACTATGGACAAGGCATAAAGACAAACTCTGGGATTACATGGGACGCCCATGACCAAGTGCACAAATTTTTGCACTAACATGTTTTCACTTCTCCTAGGTATAACAACTGACCCCCAAAACAAGGCCATAGTTAGATCTTCCTCACCTTTGAAAATCCATCTGTAACTTTACAGTAGGCCCACCATATCCATAGTTCCACACCCAAAGATTCAACCTCAGATCATGTACTTAACTGCAGTATGTATTTAGTGCAAGAAATTCACATATAAGTGGACCTGCACAGTTCACGCCCGTGTTATTCAAGGGTTCGTTGTACACCAAGGGGTAGAGTTGGCAGGTCACATGGCAACTTTCGCATAACCATCTGTGAAATTGCTAAGGTCCTGTCCAAAGCAGCTGTGCCATTTTACATTCCCATCAGAAATTTAAGAGGCTCTCAATTTCTCCACATCCCCACCAAGACTTCCAATTTTCCACCTTTTTTATTATAGCCATCCTAGCGGGTATGAAGTGGTATATCACAATGGCTCTTATGATGGCATTTCCCTAAAGACTAAATTTGCTGACTATCTTTTTCTTGTGTTTACTAGCCACTTGTAAATCTTCTTTGGAGGAATGTCTATTAAACTTCCCTGCCCACTTTACAATCAGCTTGTCTTTTTACTGAGTTGCAGGAATTCTAAATACATTCTTGATACCAGTTGTTTATCAGACATATGATCTGCAAACAATTTTTCCTCATTCTGTGGGCTGGTCTTTTCATTGTTTTGATCACATTCTTTGAAGTATGGTAGTTTTTTAATTATGATGGAGTCTAAGTTAGTTTTTATTTGATGAAAATCCAATTTGTTTTGTTTTTCTTTGGTTGCTTATGCTTTTGGGTACCATATCTAAGGAACCACTGACTAACTCAAGGTCATGAAGATTTATGCCTTCACATTCTTCTAAAGGTTTTAGTTTTAGCTCTTACACATAGGTCTTTGATTGATTTTATTTAACTTTGGTGTAAAAGATCCAAATTAATCCTTTTGCATGTGGATACTAAATTGTTGCAGAACTATTTGTTGAAAAGACTGTTCTTCCCTCTATTAAACTGTCTTGGCAATTCTGTCAAAATTCCAAGGATCATAAATGTTATAGTTTATTTCTGGGCTTCCCTTGTGGCTCAGCCGGTAAAAGTATCCACCTGAAATGTGGGAAACCTAGGTTCCATCTCTGGGATGGCAAGATCTCTTGGAGAAGGGAAAGGCTACCCACTCCAGTATTCTGGCCTAGAGAATTCCATGGACTGTACAGACCATGGGGTCACAAAGATCTATTCCATTGATCTGTCTATCCTTATGCCATACATACATCAAGTTGATTATAGCAGCTTTGTGTTTAGCTTTAAAATCTAGGGTATAAGTTCACGAACTTTGTTCTTTTCAAGACTATTTTGGCTATTCTGAGTCTTTTGCATTTCCATGTGCCATTTTCTTGTCAATTTCTGGAAAAAAAATTGCAAGAATTTTGACAGGGATTGTGTTGAATCTGTATGTCAATGGGGGAACCTATACTTTTTTATGATACTTCTCTGTCCATATAAAAATTTTTCCACAGTGGACACAGAAAAATTTTTGACAACTGGAAAAATCAGGAGAAAAATAAGTCAGAAACCAACAAATAAATCATAAGTACTCTGTAGACTTCTCATTTTAAATACCCCAATACCATTAATTGGCCTAAATAAGCCCAGGTGATTTCAAGATACTAAGGAAAACCTCTCAGGTTAATTTTGAGAACTCAACCTAAAAGTTAAGTGCTAAATAGATATTATGAAGGTGAATTTACCATCAGGAAAATTACAAGCAAGCTCAATCAAAGATGATAATAGTCTTGACCTCATAAAGATCAAAGATTCTAACAGTGGCTATTAGGTATAAAATGAGCAGAAATTTAGAATGTAAAAGGAAGTAGCTGGAACTCGTGACTGAAGAGGAAAGGGTTGTAACCAGTGGGGCTCCCACCATAAAATACTTTTGCCCTTGGGATGGTTCAGAGAAAGTCAAGTCCCCCAGCATAGGAATCTGCAAGAAAGGAACTGAAGGCCGCCTTCAGCAGTCAGTCTCAGGAGACAGAAATAACTGTATTCAGTGAGATCACAAACTCTTTCTCATTTTAATAAAACACATCCAAAACAAAAGACTTTAAAAAAAAAATCACTGCCAGCAACCAAACAATATAAGGGATTCAATCTGAAGTGAAAATTCAGAATGTGGTAGCCGATCAGACTCCAGGGGCTGGGGTAGCAAGTTACAGCCTCCACACTCCCCTCCCCATCACACCAGCTAAAGCACGTCACACCTCTTTAATTATTACCTGCACCTGCAGTTAAGCAAACCTGAAAAGCAGCTCATTTTTCCCTATTCTGCCTGGGTGTGAGTGAGGGTTGCACGTGGAGGAGCATGTGGGCAGGGACACTGCTTCCCATGAAAACTCATGAGGCAGAGGATTCTCCCTAATACAGATGTGGAGCTCATCCGCTGGGCAGCCAAAGGAACAGCCACTGTGCTGCCTTTCTCAATGGCTACTGTAATGACAGGGTGAGAAAGCAGAGTTAGAAAGGGAAATTGTAGCGGTGAACCCTGAACAACCAAGAACTGCAGGGGTATTCGCTAGATTCGGGGAAGTTCACAAGTTATTCTCCAAGTAAAGACTAAGTTCTCACAGAGCTATAATTCTAGGGAGACGGCAGGAGAGGGGGGTTCTATCTCCCAGCACTTAGAGCTGGGAAGAGCTGGTGCTTAGGCAACAGACCATTCATCAGTGTTAACTGTCTGAACAGAAGATGACACTCAAAATGCCAGGCAGTTTGAATGGAAACACAATCACACATTTATTTTGGAAAAGGAAGGACTACTAAAACTCACAATAGGTATACTGGAAAAGTGTGACTTAGCAAAGAAGTTAAGAGAGGTACCACAATGCCAGATAAAACTGCTGATAGTTACTGGCTATGTTCATTAGACCTGGAAATAAAAACAGCTTTTTCTCTGGGCTTCCCTGTTGGCTCAGCAGTCCAGAATTCACCTGCCAATGCCGGAGACACAATTTAAATCCCTGGATCAGAAAGACCCCCTGAGAAGGAAATGGCAACCCACTCCAGTACTCTTGCCTGGGAAAATTCCATGGACAGAGGAGTCTGGCGGGCTAGAGTCCATGGGGTCGCAAAGAATCAGACACGACTTGGCGACTAAACCACAACAAACATCTTAACTTTGGGATAGGTACTGTGAGGAAATGTTCTGCACAGGTCATTTATGGCCAAATTGTTGTTCACTATACACTGTCTTTCTACATACTTCTGACACGTCACATTCCCTACAGGTAAGGTAGGATCTGCTGAGGCTGGAAGTCCTATTCTCCCTTTTAAGCAGAAGAACATGTCTAAGCGGAAAGCAATTTTGAAAGCATTTATTTATTTTCCAATGGGAATGACCCCCAGTTAAAGACATGTGAGGACCACACAGTGCATCACTCAAACTGGCTACTCACCATGCCCTGCGTGGGAGCCTGGAGAAGCTACTGATTCCCAACAGCTCACCCCAGACACTGCAAATCAGTCTCCAGGATTGTGCTTGCTCATCCTTTCTAAGCTCCCTAGATGATTCTGATGCACAGGTAGGTGTGGAAAAGAGAAGTCACGATGAAGAAGAAATATGAGTGCTACAGTGGATCAATTACAGCAAGTGGCCAAGGAAAAGGAGAAAAGGCTCAGCGGGAGGAGCAGGAGAGAGGTAGGATATTCCTAACACCAAGTATCCATAGTTTCTCTGCTGCCGCGGCCCAGTCGCAAAGTCTCTGCCACCCCACGGACTGTAGCCCGCCAGGCTCCTCTGTCCACGAGATTTTTTAGGTAAGAATACTGAATGCCTACAGAGCCTCTTGTGGAAGTGTAGCTCATACAGTTCCTCCCACCCAAACCTGATATGCAGACACCAGAAACTCTATATATTTTTATTCCATAGACCATGGGTCTCCTATCTTGTCCTGGGATTCTAAGAGGAAAAATGGATGGAGGGGAAGAGGGATAACAGAAAGAGGGGGCAGGAAGAAGGACTGTCCAAAATTAGATGCACTTACAGTAAAAACTGTACACTAACTGTTAAACAAGTACCGTAGCTTTCCACAGGTTAAAAGGCAAGTCTGTGTGTCACGTACACTGGCTGGCAACAGAGGTTGTGTATCCTGGGATAAGCAAAGAAGTACTCACCTTGTGTGTGCCAGTACCCAAGCATGAGTTCAGAGGGTGCATTTCAGGAAAGCGCACTGTGTATCATCTCTGTATGCAAGATAGAGGGGATTCCCCGGCGGCTCAAACAGTAGAGAACTCACCTGCCAATGCAGGAGCCCTGACTTCAGTCTCTGTGCTGGGAAGATCCCCTGTAGAAGGGAATGGCTACCCACTCCAGCATTCTTGCCTGGAGAATTCCATGGACAGACGAGCCTGGCGGGCTACATCCATGGGGTCAAAAAGAGTTGGACACGACTGAGCAACTAACACAACAATAATGCAAGATACATGTGCTGGCAGCAGAAGGGTAGCAACGGCAGGTGAACCCAAATAATGAACCATCACCATCAACATGCCACAAACCCAGAGGACAGTTGTAATCACAGAGTTCTCAGTTCACCAAGTGCTTTTACCTTCAGCATTTAATACTCTCATTAGCCCTCTGAACTAGTGAGACTAGAAATCATTATCCCCATTTTCTAGATAAGAAAAGAGGCTCAAAGTAACTCATCACCATGGAAGAGGGCATGATCAGCAAATCAGAGCAGTGAGTTCACCAGTTCAGT